ACCCAGTGGGGCCAGAAGGAAAACGATGAGCCACACTAAGATCAAATGACAGGTCCAAGACAATGAAGGTATGCTATATGCAGAGATTCTAACAGCCAAACTGGCAGTAGCAAGGGACAGTCTGGTCAGGAAAAGAACAGTTCACTGAGAATAGAAGTTTCAGATATGACAGGGACTGAAGGCAAGAACATGTCAATGGAAGGAAATAAAATGCCTAAGAGGAAGCAGAGGGAGACTCAGTGGGAGGAGAGAAAGGGCGAGGTCAGTTTTTGTGTACGGGCTCCCAAGAAGCCAAGGGGGACAACTTTGAAGAAAAAACAGGAGGAGAAAAAAAATGATTGAAGGCATCATGAAAACAATAGGGACGAGGGCAATATGACCCAGGTGACAAATTTTCAGAGAATTAGGTGGTTTGCAAGTGGAAGGATACGGCCTGTCAGAGTAACTTTCAAGGAAGAATCAGTCGAGGATTCTGCAAGAGAAAGCAAGACTGAGGAACAAAGAGGGGTACCAGAGAGTATACCTCGACTGCGAACAGAACACAAGAAGAAAGGGACTACACTGAAAGAGAGGGTACAGAGACGCAAGGAGGAAGAGAGGCAATGACGAAAATGAGCAGGACCCAGACACAGGAGGAAGGGCAAACACACCCCACAGAATCTCCCACCAAAAAACTCCAACCGCGACATTCCCAACGCAACTGAGCAACCTATACTACAACCCACTCACTGTTCCCTCTGCCACCAACCCCATATCACAAACCTCACCCCAACAGCTGTCCTTAAGGGCATTCTGACCCACCCCCATCAACACAAACCCACCTACACCACAGCCCATATAGGCCCCCACCAAGGTTCTCGTTCCCCCAACCCCAATATTCTTGCATGACCAAAATGATAGAAAAGAAACTGAAGGTTTGGTACACAAACGCGATGGAATAATGAATAAACGAGGAGTGGAACGAAAGATCAGTGAAAAATCCCCAGACATCATAGCTAGTCACAGAAACAAAACTTGCTGAGACAATAACAGACACAATCTTTCCCAACAGGATATAAGATCCTGAGTGAAAGATAGAAGGAGTAGAGGGGGAGGAGGGGTTGCACCTGCTCATAAAACACGTGGGGATTTGAGGAAATGGAAGGACAGTGCATCAAAGCAGGGACATTCACTGAGCAAGAGCAGGAGATGAACCACAAGACTCGGAGGCACCTGAGAGCGGACAAGGACACATACGGTGAGGGGCCCCCTAGTGGCAGGAGCTATCACGTGTTTACTGAGTTTTGGCATTTAGACCATAAATGGGAATGGAAAAGGAACTGAAGGGTACCCAAAACTATGCAAAGGATGGATCACGGTATTGAAAAACTCATGCAAGGTCAGTGGCAACGAAAGGAGGGAATCAGTAACCGAGATGATGGAATTGTGGCAACAAAGTGCAAGGAGGCAGAGGAAGTTTTGTTCCCAAGGGAAACAGAAATAATAGGAAGACCAAAACGGTCCTTGGTTTAACCCGAAGGTGTAGGGAGGCAAAAACTAAGTGCACAGAGAAGGGAAAAAGGGTAACAGGAGGCATAGGACCCAGGAAAACAAGGAGATTAGTAGAAGAGCCAGAAACGAGTATGCACAGATAAGGAGGGAGGCCCAGCGACAGTATGAAAACGACATAGCATCGAAAGTCAAATCTGACCCGAAACTGCTGTATAGCCACATTAGGAGGAAGACAACAGTCAAGGACCAGGTGATAAGGCCTGAGGAAAGAAGGTGGAGAACTCACAAGAAACGATCAAGAGGTATGTGAGGAGCTCAACACGAGTTTTAAAGGGAAAAGTATTTACAGTAGAGACAGGAAGGACTCTGGGGGGACAGACCGGGATGGGGACACCAGCAAGGAATACACCAACAAGTGTTGGACGACATACATACAGAAGAGGAGGAGGTGAAGAAATGCTAAGGGACATCGATACCTCAAAGGCAATGGGACCAGAAACATCCCCCCGTGGGTCCTTACAGAGGGAGCAGATATGTTGTGCGTGCCACTTACCACAATCTTCAACACGTCCCTGGAAACTGGGCAACTACCTGAGGTATGGAAGACGGCAATGTAGTTCCCTTTTTTTAAAAAAGGAGACAGAAAAGAGGCACTAAACTATAGACCTGTGTCATTGACGTGTATATATGCAAAATTATGGAGAAGATTATCAGGAGGAGAGTGGTGGAGCACTGGAACGGAAGAAGAGTAAAAAATCCCAACCAGCACGGATTCACGGAAGGCAAATCCTGTGTCACAAACCTTCCTGGAGTTTTATGATAAAATAACAGAAGTAAGACACGAGAGAGGGGGGGTGGGTTGACTGCATCTTCTTGGACTGCAAGAAGGCCTTTGACACAGTTCCTCACAAGAGATTAGTGCAGAAGCTAGAGCATCAGGCCCCATATAACGGAAGGGCACTGCAATGGACAGAGAATACCTGACAGGGAGACAACAACGAGTCATGGT